GAAAACTTGTTCAGAACCTGTGTTTACGACAGCTGGGGTTGAGCAGAGCTGCGTGGCTTCCCGAGCCCCCGCGTGTATTTCTGAGGAGTGGGCTTGCCCCTTGGGTTGCTGGCCACAGCGCCACTGCGTCTAGGTTCCAGGTTGGGTGGGCATGAAGGTGATGCTCTGGGAAATTGGCAAGGACACACAGATCTTCAGGCCTGGCTGGGGCAGGTCCAAGTCTGGCCATGGGTGATACTCCTGCCTGGAGGGCAGCCACAGGGGCTGGGACCCCTCAGGCCCCGGTGGGGAGGGAGCTGCAGTGTCCAGTGGATGCAGTGAGCATTCCTCAGCACGGGGTCAGCCTCGGCCAGGTTCGGGACCCACCTCATCTGCCCGCCCACTTCCTGATCACGGCTCCTCCATTGGTTCCTGGGCTTTCTGTATTGTTCTCTCAATAAAATGCTCTGCTGGGGCTGGTGAGGGGGAGGCTTCTGGGGTCCCAGGCTCATCTCTGCAGGCCTCGCTGTGGTTGGAGGGAGGGCTCTGGTCTTGTAGGTCCACCCTCCCGTCTCTCCACAGCTGCTCTGCCTGTCTCCGGAACAGTGCTGTGCTATGTATCCTTTCACGAGGAAAAGCACAGTTAACAACTGTGAATCAATACCTCACACCACGCTCTTCACCCACGGAGAATTTAAAGCTAAAATTGAAATTCCTGCCAGATGGCAGCCAATTTTGACTCTCAGAAATGAAAGCCAAGAAGGGTGGGGGTGGCAGTGTGCAGCCGCCCCATAGGAGCAAGAGGGCCCGCACGCTCTGGAGAGCTGGGGTGAGGAGCAGTGGCCTCTCTCCAAGCAGCACTGGGGGCCTTTGTGACAAGCTGGGGAGGGAGGTGAGCGGGGGAGGTGGAAACAGTGCAGAGCTCAGGGCTTCTGCCCAGGGAGGTGCCCTCTGGGCACGCTGGCCCCACAGTGTTTGCAGGGCTGAGGGGACCGGCATTTGCAGGGCATGCTCCTGCTGCCAGCCAGAGAGACCAGAAAGTGCACAGCAGAGAAGGGCACGGTGCCGGGGGTGGGGCCTGGGCTCCCGGAGTTTCCTGTGGGCTCCCTGAGTCTTCCGCTGCCAGACTCCGACAAATCAGGTTGAGAACCAGTTCTGGACGAGAAGAGCCCAAGGTCACCCCGTAGGTGCTGGCTGGAGGTGTCCCGGGGGAGGCTGCAGGGAGGGACTCAGAGGTGGCCTCAGCCCTCCTTGGCCCCGTGACTTGTAGGGAGTGTGTCCCCCCACGACACTCTCCCCTCCCTAGACCAGCAGGCCCACTCTGGTTCTGCCACCGCGTCTTCGGGCCTGGGCCTGCCCCCCTCCTGCCCTGCCCCACCTCACCTGCCATCTTGGCTGGACCCCCTCCTGTCCCACCCATTCTCTTCCTTCTCAGCCGGGAGGGTGGCAGAGGATCAGTCAAGCCAGCAGCCCCTGAATGGGTCCCTGGTCCCTTCTGCACACCCAGGTCTTCTTCACTTCAGCTGCTGGCTGTTTCCCTCTGAGGTTGAGTGACACTCAAACCCATCTCCCCACTTGTGTCCCCAGGCCTACTCTCCCGCCACATCCTGCTTTGGGGATCCAGAACCTCTCGGGCCACTGTGGAGTCCCTGATCACCCTCGGTACCTCTAGACTGTCTAAATCCTCTGCCACCCTCCTGGCTGAGCACCGTGACCTGGTCCTGTCTGCTGGGGTTCTGCCAGTCTTCACCAGTGCCAAGCAGGCGCCCTGCTCCTCAGGTTGGGAGCCTGACAGCAAGCCCCAGGCCTGGCTTTCCTGAGGTGGGGCTTGGGGCACCTGCTTATGACCTGCTGGATCTCAGCCTGCCCCCAGCTGTACCTCCTGTGTCCTCAGGCTTTTGCTCTCCTCAGGTGTCACTTGTGGCTGCTGGGACCACAGGCTGCAGGCTGAGGGGCCACCTATCTGCTCTTGGGGCACATCCTGCACCAGTTGCCAAGCACCCCACACGGGTGAACGAGGCAGCACCTGGAGGAAGACCAAGGTTCAGCGCAATGCCCACACCTCGCACCCACACCCCATGGGTGCCTGAAGGAGAGGATGTTCTGTGACAGGCAGTGCATGCTTGGGACAGGGAAGGGTGAGGGGACATGCAACCATGCTCCCTCCGTGAGCCCTGGCAGGAGCCCAGTGGAGGGCGGGGCTCCATTTGTATTAAGAAGACATACAGCCAGACCCCACACAAACAGGAACCATGAGAGAGGAGGAGTGGGCCTGAGGAGGCTCTGCCCCAGGAGAATGATGCCCGTGCCCGGGGGGCTGGGGCGTCCCTCAGCCAACGCCAAGACCCGCGAGCTGGAGTCCAGGAGGATCGACCGCTACTCACACCTGCAACAACATCAAGACAAAGAAGAGACCACGGCAGACCCATGGTCGTGTCTACTGAGCACCTGCACCAAGAGCATCAGGTGCAAGCTCGCAGCAGTGGGCAGTCTGAAGAGACCACATCATGAACAGCAGCACGGGGCCCAGCTGCCTGACATGACTCCATGTCCGGGCCTTGTGCAGGCTTCCTAAGGAAGGACTCCTGTGAGAACTCTGTCTAGAGTGGTGACCCGAGGCTCAGCTGGGACTGCTCCGTGATACCGCATGCGTCTGGCCACTGCCTCTCCTCTCTCTGGATGCTGAGTACCAGCCTTCACTTGAGTTTCCTGCCCAGCCCCTCCAGGGGGTGCTCTCAAGGTACACCTGAAGGGACACCCTGTGGCTCCCCGGAGTCACTGATGACTTAGCAGCAGTGGGCGGGGACATGTGGAGCCTTCCCAAATGTTTCCATTTCCTCCTGGATATTGTAAAGAGCAGCACTGGAGAGAGGGTTTTTTCTCCTGTGGAAAGAAGCCCACTGGACCTGTGGCTCTAAGCGCTCAGGCCAGCGCCACCTAGTGCCCCAAAGCCGCACTGCAGCAGGGCCCCAGAGCAGGTGTGTAAGTGGCGAGAGGCCACTGCCAGCCAGGAAGCACTCCACCTGCTCAAGGAGATGAGCCCTCTCACAAGCACTGGAGATGGCGGTCTTCACCTGTGTGTCAGGCAGCACTGGTGAGTAAACCCTCGGAAGGGAGCAGCCTGCTCAACTTGAGCAAGAGTCACGTTATTGCCCCCATAAGCCTCCTGTTCACTCCCTGATTCTGGTTCACTCCTGGCAGGGCCTCTCCTGGGGCGTCTCCCCAATCCCATGTGGTATCAGTGACATCTGTCAAGCCCGAGCTTTGGTCTGAAAGGCTTCTTCATCCCAGAACTCGGAAGTGCAGCAAACAAAGAACAAGCATGGGGCAGCCATGTCAGCCCCCTGGCCTTCAGAGCCCTTCCCTGACCCCTGCTCCCGGGCCACCTCAGTCCAGCCAGAAGACGAGCCCTTGTGCAGAGGGGATGGAACTGGGGAGCCACAGCTGGCAAGGGGGTCCATGCATCCCCTCTAAACCTTCTGCACAGTGCTGGCATCTGGTGGCCAGTGTGTGACCACAGGACGGCCATTGTGCCTGGGAGCAGAGCTTGGTGGCTAAGCACCAATGGCTGGGACTGCAGGGCAGCAGGAAAGGTGCTGCCTCCTCCAGCCTGGGACAGGCAGACCCTACACAGGCTGCTTCTGTGCCCATAGCTGGCCCTTGGCGTCCACATACCTTTGCTGCCCTAGCTGACGTCCCCTCTGTGCCCACAGGCAGCGCTTGGCATCCATGCACCTTTGCTGCCCCAGCTGAGAAGCCCCTCTGTGCCCACACATGGCTGGGCAACTATCTGGGTGTTTTACTACCTTGGCCCTTTCCATGAGTTACTGGAAAAGAAAAGGTGCTGGAGTTGGTGCTGACACGCAGGGGTGGAAAGGCCAACCTGACAAGCATCCCGCCTCCACCAGACGCCTGCTGGACCTCAGCAGCTGGCCTCGTCCACTGTACAGATGACCAAAAAGATAAGTGTGAAGTGCTGAAAGCATGGCATTCAAGTTCATGTCTGGAAGGCAGTGGGAGAGGTCACTGGAGAACATGGTCAGCCACCAGCCCCAACAGGGACCCTGCTGGCCAGAGGGCAGAGTACGGACCTCCTGGGAGGTTTTTAAGAAGTCCCTAGAAGCACTGAGCTCGAGCACAAGAGCCCTTCTGCTCCCCTGCAGAACGGCCCCCGCCAGTCCTCAGGTCCGAGGCCAACTCTGCGTCACTGTGCCCGTGCCCAGGAGCTTGAGGAAGAGGCAACTCAAATAATCATATTCATTTTATAAGACGCACAGAGAAAACTCCATCATCAGGGACTCTGTAACACTTAAAGTCTCTGAACCCACCTACAACACACACTGTCCAAGACCTCAGGACAAAGTGCACTCCAGGGGGACGGCCAGCCTTGGGCCATGCACAGGACACAACCAAGAGGGCTCCTTCCTGCCCAGCAGCCCGGGTGTCACAGAGTCTTGAGGCCCAGGGGAAACACTGGTGGCTGCAGGTGGCCCCTGTTCCCTGGACAGTCAGTGTGCAGCCCGCCTGCGCCTCGCCCATGGCAGAGGCACTGCTCCTTCCCGCTCCACAGCTGCTGTGGGACCAACCCATGTCCTTGGCAGTTTTTAGGTAAATGCAAAACAGAGAACCAGAGTTGGTGCCACAGGCCTTTCTCGCCCTCAGTGGGCAACACCATGTGTGAGGCAGCTGCACGGCAGACCTGGAGGCTCCCACACCCAGGCCTCGCCTGCACAAGGCTCACCTCTGCAGACAGGGACCGTACGTGTCCCACAGCAGCACAGGGGGTCAAGCATGCCAAGAGCAGAGCTGCAGGGCTGGCGGTGCCGAGAGTGGCCGCTCTCCCCTGTGGAACGCGAGCTGCGATGGGGCTCAGGTGCAAGGCCCCTGGCAGGGAGCCATGGACAAGGGTGCCCACTGTGCCTCCGCACCACACTCAGGGAGGAGCCTGGGCTCAGGAAGAGTGAAGCCAAGACGCGTCACATAGGAGGCCAGACGATCAGGTGGAGCTTTATTCAGTTATGCTACTTAATCACCGCATCCAGAAAGAACTGCACGGTCACCGTGGAGCGCACGTGCTGGGGCGGCTGAAGAGCAAGAGCTGGGCAGGTACAGGGCAGGGATGTGCTCACCGTCCATGTGTCAATCCCCCGAAGGGAGCAGACCCTGCAGGAAGCATGAGAGTTGCAACAGAATGCTACCTTTGAAACTCCTTCCCTTCCCGATTCCCCCTGCTGAAGGAGACAAGAATGCAAATGTCCAGATGGAGTGCCAGACCTCAGGCCTTGGGCATGACGCTGGGTGTGCCTGGGCATCATCTAAAACCAGAGCGAGGAGCAGGCACCACTGGGTTCCCACGTGCTAAGGAGAAGCACAGACGCACTTCTGGAGGACGCTGTTCCCGCTGCCCTCGTCACGTGCGTACTTAGCTTGAGAAGCACCACGGGCGGCTGAGCACTTACCTAGGCACTGTCTCTGCAGCAGGCCAGAGATGCTGATGGGCGGCCGGGGGGGCCGGGCCTGGGCAACACCGCCGACGGGGGAGCCGCCTGGCGCCGCTCTGCCTGGTCGCCAGGACGCTGGAGCTGGCGGAGCTCCCTTGCAGGGCATCTGCACTGGTGGGACCCTAGCAACACAGTCACAAGGAGTCATGAGCACCTGAAGCCTCTAGTGCCACCATCGTTTGAGCACTGGCTGCATGTGGCTTTAGAGGCCACCGTGATTCGCAGCATGTCCTGAGTACCCAGGAACTGCAGGTGAGGGGCAGTGGTGGCACACGTGGTGCCCACTGGGCAGCCTCTCAGGGGAGGACTTCTCTGGGCTCAGGTGATCAAGGAGGATCTGGAGAGGAGGCTGTTGGAGCCACTGACAGCCCCCTACACAACCCTCCACTGTACCATGCTGACCAAAGTCAAGAGCTACGCTCCATAGCTTTCCCTAAGGTCACTACTAATAAGCAGCTGAGCAGGAACAGCAGGGGGCCCAGGACCTCTGGGACCCTGTGACCACTACCCCCTGGACCTGCTCTCTCTCTGAGACCAACTTGAAGCCTGTGCCCCAGCCCCTCCTGCCTACATTCTTATCGGGCCTACCTACTGACAATTCTGGCCCCTTCTCTCCACGGGTCCCCCCACTGTCCCTGCCGCCTCAGTCCTGTTGGCAGCTCACCCTCGGGTCACCCTCAGCATGCAGAAGGCTCTGGAAGCTCATCCGTCTCACACTTCGTCTGCGCTCTCCAGGGTGGTGAACCCCAAACCATGGGTCCCCGCCTGCAGGCCCTGCAGCCTGCTGGTGCTGCCTGTTACTGGGCCTCCTGCTCCACTCTGCCCTGCCCTGCTGTGGGCTGACCTCCGGCCCTCGCTGGTCCTGCAAGCCCGGCTCCTCGGGGCGGCTTTTCCGGAGCCAGCAGGCCTTTCACAGGCAGCCCATCACCCGCCTTGTCTAACCACCGCTGTCCAGCGTCCTGCCTACATGTTCGTCCCAGAGACCTCGGGCCACTCCGATGTGCTTGCCCTGAGCCTTTCCCAGAAGGCACAGTGCAGGTCTCTACCACAGCCCCTGTCCCTTCCACCTCCTTGAGAACCCCTGCGTGCCCTTGCCTTGGAGCTGTGAGCAACGGCCTCCTCCTCTAAGGCAGTGGCCTCCGTGGTCACCTGCTATACCCAATTCACATGAAGCCTGAATCCCCAGCTTCTCTCCTGCCAGGGCCCACTGTGCTCACCTTCTGTGTCCAGAGGACAGACAGAGAACACGGGGTCCCAGGGTGTGGTGACAGCACCACACAGTCCCACTGGGGACGCAGTGGCAGGCAGCGAGTGCCAAAGACAGTGCTGCGGGGCTGCCTCCTGGGTGGGCAAAGCTTTGCATCTTGTCAGGCAGCCTGGCGTGGACAGCCTCAGGGTCCGAGGGGGCAGAGTGCCCAGGAGTAGCTGCATGGGCCAGGCCACATGCTCTCTGCAAGGCGGGCAAGCCAGTGGGCAGTGAGGGGGCACTTGGGCCCAACCAAGGGGCTGGCAGGACAGTGTGTGCCTTTGGAGGCTGGCTACCCTTCCCACACTCAGAAGACATCCGTGTGCCGAGAGAGCGGGGCAAGCAGGAGACCCGCCTGTCAAGAAGCAGGGCATGGCGGGCGTCCTGTCTACTCAGGGTCAGCAACCTGAGCCCTGGGCCTGCCCCTGTCTCTAGATGAAGCCTACTGAGACAGAGCTCCTAAACCTCCTCGCTGAGGACCTGCCTTGGGCCAGCATGGCCCGGCCGAATCGTGAGCGCACTTCACTGGCCTTTAGTCCCACACTCTGCCCCCTCTGTAGGACCAGCCCCCTCTCCCAGCCTGATGGTTTTCCTCTTGATGTGGTTTGCCTATTTCTACGCAGGCAAGGGGCCGAGCTGCCAAGGGGACCTAGGTAGCTCCCAGGCTGGCTGTGGGACATTCCTGTGGAACATTGTCCACTTACTGCCATGCCACCTGTGGCTAGTTTCTCCACAGAAAGGCAGGGATGAGAAGGCTCCAGAGAAGCAGAGCATTCACTTCCTGACCTCTGCAGAGAACACCTGTGCCCCAGCCCCCTCCCGCAAGGAAGCCCTGTGTGGCCACTGGGTGGTTCCTGTGGGGTTCTCAGCAATGGCCAATGTCTCCGTCACACCTCAGCTTCAAACACGCCAGCCACCAAGCAGTGCAGACAGGTTACCTGGCTGGAAGCACACACGAGCAGGAGCCAAGCGCAGAGTGCTGACTCTAGCAGTAGCCACTCCTCCCAAGCAGGTCACCAGTGACCTTCTTTTGTTCCCATTTCCCCTCCAAACATCATGCACAAGCCGTGCTCGGGACGCTACCTGAGAGCCGCTGCCATGCCCACTTGTCTGGGTGTCAGGCTGGGATGTGGAGGGCCTGGGTAGGAGACGCTGCCTGTGGGGGAAAGACACAAGGTGCTGGAGGGCGGTGCTGCAGGCTGCCTCCTGGGTGGGCAGGCTTTGTGCCTTGCCAGGGAGCCGGGATGCATCAGGTCCCTGGAGGCCAGGCTTCTCCAGCTGTTGCGAGGCTGATGACAGGCAGCACCACACACCCCCTTCCTGCCCGCCCACACCCTGAGTGTGCAGCAGCCGGAGTTCCTCCTGACCACAGAAGCAGCAAGTGAAGCTTGTGTGCCTGGGACTCGGCTCGTAAGCCCGAGGGAGTCGTGCCTGCCTTCCGCTCCCCTGGAAGTGGGCGAGGGGAACATGGCAACTCTCCTCCATGGGGCGCCTGAGCCTCGGGACACCCTGAGCATGGTGGCCCTGTGCGCTGCAGAGTGGACAGAGGATGCTGGCCCATGGGGTACGAGACAGCTCTGCACCGGGACGGCTTTGTCTCTGTTCCCTGGACCCTGAGGCAGCATGGTGACGCTCCCTCAGAAGACCCTGCAGAACAGCCAGGGACCAGGAGGCCAGGACCCTGGTGGGCTGCACCCACCCTTCCATTCTCATGTGGCAGGGCCTGGCTGGTCCGCAGGGCCTGCCCCTCCTGGGAGAGCCTGCTCTGACTCAGGAACTGCTTGCCTGTGAGCTCCCCTCTCGTGGAAGCCAGCCTGTCCACATTCCCCAGCCCTGACCACTCCAGGCCATTTATCGGACATCCAGGGGCAGCCCACACCCTGGAGCTGCTCAGTCATCAAACCTGCCAATCCCAGCGGTCGGCCTGTTCTGTCTTCCCCACTCGGTCCCTCTCCAAGGAACCACAGAGAAAGCCATCTGACAGCCACTGTCCCTCATGGCAGCTGTCCCCCCTTGATCTGCTGGTCTCACTACCATGATTAAAATAGACCCCAGGTACATCTCAACCACACATAATAACAATGGCAGGTAACTGCATGCCACACAGCTGCACTGGCTATCGGGGACCCTGCTGAGATAACTCATCCACACAGGCCCAAGTGGACAACCGGCCTGGGTCCCGGGGCCTTTGGACTGAGGAGCAGCCCCATCTCTGTGTGTCTCACAGACAGCAGCCCCCAGGCCAGGGGAGGGCACAGCATAGCCCTCTAGACACACCCCAGAGGACAGCAGCACAGACGGCACAGCCAGGAGCTGTGGAGGAAGCTGGCGACTGGCATGTCACCACATACCCAGGGCACAGCAAGGTCAGGGCAGCAGGATGGGGTGAGCCTCCCAGGCCTGAGGGGCATGCTGGGAGATCAGGGTAACCACCCTCCCCAAGACACCCTCAAGTTAGGTGTGGGAAGCACTGTCGCGGGCAGTTAGAAGAGGTGTGTTGGGGAGCTGAAGCAAGAAGCACTAGTGTTTCCAGAGGCAGGTTTGGCTGCTGCTCCCAGAGCAAGCCTCTGCCTTCTTGGGCAGGACCAAGTGCTGCACTCGGCGTCCCCAGACCAGTGCTCAGGGCTTGGCAGCACAATGGGACACTGGACAGACGTGCCTGGCAGCCTGTGGTCATCTGGAGACGGGAGAGTGTGCACATCCAGTTAGCCAATCCATTCGCTAGGCATTTGCTGGGGTGGGGCTGCTGGTGTGTTACAGTAGGAACCAGCAACTATCTAGAAAACCAAGTGTGAAACTGGAAAAAAACTGTAAAGCAATCAATTTGGGGTTCAACTGCATTTGGGGTTCAACTAAAGGCAGATGACAGATGGAAAAGCAGTTATTCTTGAAAGCCTCCTACAGTTTTGGGTGAGCAGGGGGGCTGTGGAGAGGACAGCAGTCCTGGGCAGGGTGCCAGAGGCCGTGGGCTCAAGGCAGGAGGAAGCACTTCTGTAGGACATGGCCTTAGCTGAGGAGGGCAGGGCCAGCCTGGGAAACCGTGAAGATCAGAGGAGACGCTCCCCACGCCACAGTAGTGGGCAGGGCCAGCAGGTGTGAACTGGGCCTCCATCCCCACATCTCATCAGGGTGCAGCCTTAGGGACACAGCTGCTGAAGCAAGTCTCAGACAAGCCCCTCCTGGCCCCTAACTTCTAAGGCAGGGGAAACCAGGAGGACACAGGACCATGGCAGGTCCACGTCCGTGGCTCAGTGCCGAGCAAGTGCATGGCCCTCACGCTCATCTCAACAGGCGCAGAGAAAACATCTGGGAGATCAAGGACCACCCTTGCACAGGCATCTCCAAGAAACCCAATGTCATACTTCAATGCTGAAAATGGGAAGTTTCTCTCCTAAGGCCAGCAACAGGACAGGCAAGAACTTTCTCTTACCATTGTTTTGTTTGTTTGTTTAGTAGGAGGTGGGTCCTCACTCAGTTGCCCAGGCTGGCCTTGCACTTGTGACCCTCCTGCCTCAGCTCCAAGGAGCTGGGGTCACAGGCATACCCCTATGCCTGGACTTGCTCTTGCCACTTTTATTTAACATTGTACTGGAGGTTGTTGCTGAGTATTTAGGCAAGAAAAAAAAATTATTCGGGTTAAAAAGGAAGAAATAAAGCAATTTCTACTTGTGAATAACATGACATAGTATATAGGAAATCCTAGGGAGTCCACAGAATGTCCCTAGATAACAAATGAGCTCAGCAAATTTGTAGGACACAAGATAAATCTACAAAAGTCAGTTGTACTTCCACACACCAGCAATGAAAATCTGAAAAATGAAACTGAGAAAACAATTCCATTTACAATAGTTTTAAAAGAATAAAATAGGGTTGGGGTTGCAGCTCAATGGTAGAGCACTTGCTTACCATGTGTGAGGCACTGGGTTCGATCCTCAGCACCATATAAAAATAAATAAAATAAAAGTATTGTGTTCCTCAACAACAACAAAAAAAGAAATACTTAGGAATAATTCTTACCAAATAAATGTCAGTTTTCTTCACTGAAAAGTACGAAACATAGCTAAAATTAAAGGACCCCAAAAGGGGAAGTCAGCCAATGTTCATGGACCGGAAGACCTAATATCTTAGGATGGCAATACTCATAAAGTTCGTGTTCAGAGTCCATTAATCTCTCACCCAGACACCCACCCCTTCTTAGCAGAAACAAATAGGCTGATCCTAAAACTCACAAGGAAGTGCAAAGAACTCAGAATAGCCAGAGCAATCTTGAAAAAGAACACTATTTCAAAAAATCACGACAGAGTTACAGTCAGCAAAAGACCAAATTAAATGACGATAAACAAAACCAAGAGCACCCACAAACGTTAAAGCAGTAAGAGGAAAGCAAGTCATCATGCACAGGAGTGCAACTGAGTGGTGGCTGGCCCCTCTTCAGAAGGAGCAGAAGTGGAGGTGATGCTCACAAAGCACCTCACACAGCTGCCACTTGGTCCACTCAGTGAAAGCATCCTCAAGGTGGAGACAAATGGAAGCTATTCCAAGATGAACAGAAACTGAAAGACCTGATGCTAGCCAATCTTACCTATGAGAAATGAAAAAGTGCTTCAGCCAAATCTGCAGGACGCAAGGTAGAACCTCAGAAGTGGCAGATGTGCTGCAGATGTGAGGCATGCATGTGTGTGCACGTGCACGCGTGTGTGCACATGCGCACACATACATGTGTGTGTGTGTATTTGCACGTGTTTCCAAAGTTTTAAGGAATGTAAGTTTGTTTAATTAGAGAATAATTGCAGCACTGCCCTGTGAAGCTTGGAACGCATAAATCACACATACACATGCACATACATGTCTTAGGGAGGAGGGAAGGGGAAGCGGGCGATGCTGCGCTGGAGCACCCCGCTGCCCCACCTGCGTTAGCCCAGCACTGACCTTGCACATACTGTGGTAAATTTAAGATGCATGATACAATCCCTGGGAAAATCACCAAGAAAGTAATACAATCCACAGTTAAAAGAGCAGAGGAGGAATTAAAATGTGCACTTGTCTGCCTGGGCAGCATGACAGAACACCAAGCCTGGGTGCTTCAACAACCATGATTTGGTTTTCACAGTTCTAGAGACTAAGAAGTCCAAGATGAAGGTGCTGGATGATTTGGTTTCAGGTGGCTAAAACCGTCTGGTTCACAGCCTTCTCTGCTCTCAGGTGAGGTTTTGTTTTTCTGAGCTGGGGGTCAACTTCAGGGCCTCATGTGAAATGAAAAAGTGCTTCAGTCAAACCTGGAGGACGGCAGGGGAACCTCAGAAGTGGCAGATGTGCTGCAGACAGGCTCGGCAAGCACTTCACTGAGCCACACCAGCACCTCCTTAGCCCCTTGAGTGCTTGTAAACAGAGTGAGCTGTCTGGTGAGCACTTCAGTGCACCATCCAGGGCCTGAAGCCCTTCACTCCCTGGTGCAGCATCTCCACCACTGTCTCCAGGAAAGCAAAGCTGAAACTCCATCCCCATAAGGCACTGACTGTCTCATTCTGCTGAGCCCCTCGGGCCCACCGCTCTGTGCAGTCTGTCCTGTGACTGCTCCTGCACTCGGCACAGTGCCCTTGGAGTCCATCCACACAGGAGCATGCATCAGAACTGGCTTCCTCTTAAGGCTGGGTGGTACTCCACCCAATGCAATGCCAAGTCTGTTCATCCATCTTCTGTTGGAAGACCACAGGCTGCTTCCAGGAATTAGGCTGTGCATACTGTGCTGGAATCCTGAGTGGACGGCATCTCAGCAAGACCCAGGCACAGGAGTGGACGCAGCCACCACAACTGCGTGGAGTCCCATTCTGTGGCATCACCTCATCTTCCCCCCAGCGTGGACAAGTGCCCGGCTTCTCTCCACACCTTCACCAGCAGTTGATACACGTGTTTCTGAAATAGCAGTCCAGGAGGCGGGAGGTCTCTCTCACTACGATTTGGTTTGCATTCCCTACGAGTCAGCGACGGGCACCTTATATGCTACTGGCTGTCTGTATTTCTTCTTAGCCCACTAAGTCCTTTGCTCACTTTTGAACACTTTTGTTGCTGTTGTCCTTTATATATTCTGGGTCTTAATCTCTTACTAACTATGATGTACAAATATTTTCTCCCATTTTGTGGGTTGCTTTTTTTAAA